GGGTGGTTCTATTTTAACTTCTAAAAATACGTTAACGTTCTTCTGCGAAGCGACATAAGCCCTGACGTCATAACCACAAGCACTTGTTTCATATACGGGACGCACATCCCTTCTTAAGCCACACCTGTTATATATGTGTAACTGTGACGTGATAATACGATTGACATTACTGGACCAAAAAAATAGTTCCCGGGGATCATGGGGGAAACTGAACTTGATTTTTTTTCCTCAAAAATATACCGTTATACATGTAAACTATATCGGAAGACTAAAGCAAAATTGTTATGATTAATTATTAATTAAATGTTATAATATATTAACGTTTGAAACTGCCTGAAGCGGTCTCCAACAAGTTATCTTGAATGGAAAACAAGAAAAAATGGTTGAACAGATGAGTACTAGTAATTCTATTATAATTTTTTGATTATTAATCTTATTTATATACATTTATATCAAAACAAACTTTTACGTTTGCTATTTTCAAGAATTCGCAGATTAAAATGGAATTTTCCAATCTATTTATGAAACTAAAGGAAACTTTTTAAAATGTTTTCAACTAACGAGACATTTTAAGAGGCAGTCCACTGAAAAACCAGGCAGTATTGTATTAAAAGGCGGCACATCGAATGTGAGGAATATTTGGTATTTTATTAAAATCAATATCGATGTAGTCCAAAAGGAATAATGTAACTGAAGATTTGTTTGAAAATTGCTTATTTAGTAAAATATCCTTGTGTTTTTGAATTCACCTATATAAACCATTGAAAGTAGGTAATAAACAAAGAGTTGTAATTTCTAATACAATTTTAACAAGTCTATAATTCACACTTAAATAAATCAAGAAATATTTCAAATTTTTGTTTAAAAAATAAAATCACTGGGAAAAATACTTTTATTAGAAGTTTTCTTGCAAAATATATAGACGTTTTTATGAAAAATTGCGATGCAAGAGTTATCTCCCGTGGCATCGATAAATCTGCTAAACACATTTTCATCGAATCGATAACTAAAGAAAATTATTAAACAAAAAATAAATGATTTATTTTCAAAATATAATTCATTTTCGCCTCCAAACATAATATTTAGATTAAAATTGACTATAATATTCAGGTTAAATCCACGTTTCCATTGATGTATCACTGACGTCAAAATATTGCGTCACAATGAAATAGTTACAAGTTTTCCAGAGAAGTTCGTAAATTCTTTGCGTAAAGTGTAAAGAATTTTTTTTAAATGATTTCTCTTTTTCTGTTTATTACTTTTCAGAGTGCATTATACTAAATGTTAAATAATATTTTAATATCAAAATGTATTTTACACAGTACACTGGTGGCGTCTCAGCAAGATGACGTTTTGATAAGTAATTTTATACATGTCCGAGAACAAATTTTTTAAAATTGATTTACCAGGATATGCGTTAAAATAATTAATGAAGTGTTTATAATGAACATTTCTTATAAAGTTGAGAATCAATGATGAATGTTTTAGATTTACGCAATATTTAATTCAACGAAGTTGGTAGATGTAAAAACTAAAACTTAAATACATTTTAATATCTATGCAATCAAATCAAAATAAACGATCTACAGTACAATTAAAAATTTAAAAAATGTGAAAAATAAGTTATAAAAATATATCTATTGAGTTAAATTTACTGCTGAACTCCCGACTAAAATTTGGCAATATAACGGAAGGTGGTTTAGTGAAACATTTGTTTTTTTTTTTTTTTGTTTTTTGTTTTTTTTTTTTATTTTATCTATTTTTATTCGGCGATTGAAACAATCACACGCTCATATTAAATATGGAGTATAAACCTGTGACTATGTTGACCAATACTAAAATGTTTTCACGTTCATGAAACCAATTTTTAAAAATAATGATGCCATGACCCCGCAACCCCCCCCCCCCTTCCGCGCTTCTTGCTTGCCATCTATCGGCTCTTGAATAATTATACTATACATGAAAGAACTTATTTTCTTATTTATATAAAATCAAATTTTGTAAAAGAGGAAAAGGCTTTACAGATGACAGGTAAGAATAACCTTGGATAAAGTCGAGACTGTACACATAAAAATATTTCTTGCATAATTGTTAGAATTTACTCTTTAATTCCTGAGACAAATAAAAAAGAAATTTTACTTGGAAATTGAATAAATTGCATAAATGTTACATTATATGTTTTACATGTAATCTTCATGTAAGTAAAAGACATTGGTAATTTAAATACTACATACATTTGAATCTATGGTTACACTCATTTAAAAACAGTAAACTGACTGAAAAGAAATACCAGACAAGCAGTTTTTTCTGATAAATTAACATGAAGAGCCAAATTTAGGAATTTTTTCTAAATTTACGGTAAAAACCGATCCCGATTGAAATAAAACCGATCCCGATCGAAAATAATGCAAAATTAATAAATTTATCAAACTAAAGGCACCTGCTACCTATATGATATGTTAAAAAATAAATCAAGTCATTTCTAAATCATATTATAACAAAAGAGCCAAATTTGACATTACTATTTTAGTATTTTCTTCTTTATACAATAATTTTTTTAAATTTGACTCCTTTTATTTCTTTCAAAATACCTTTTCCCAATGATTTTATTGAATGACCCAAAAGTTTGTACTTTGTATTCATAAAAACATAAGTAAACAAATATGTCCTTGTATTGTATTGGGTTTTATAACGTAAATAAAATTGGATACTGAATTTAAACATTGACCTGCTAAATTCAAATTTGGACCAGGTAATTTTTTCTAAAGAAGTATAAATTTTTTTCATTCATAAAATAAAAGATAAAACTATTCTATAAATAATAATTGGAGTATCTGTTACATATAAAACAAAATAAAAAAATGACCTTTTTGCACTTAAAATTAAGCATTTACTAAAACTAGGACTAGAGGAGCACTCTAACTTTTTTTGATGTTGTCATGTGTAAACACTTGCTTTTCTACATGCAAAAAATAATTAAAATCCATGACATATGTGCCAAAGACTGCCTCTTAAAAGACCGTTTACTAACCTTTAATTTGGATTTTTAATCTCAGTTTGCTGATCTAAAGGTATCTGATTGTCCATAGAATAAATAGATCAGTTTGTTTGATAGAATAAACTAATTTTGAATTCTACAGAAGTTAAAATGTGATGTCACATAGTCCGAAATTTTGGTAAAATATCATTTGCAAGAGCTGTAGATCTTTTGAAAGAGAATGATTTGGTTTGTGATTTTGGAGAGTATAATCAATTATCTGTCATAGATCACAAACTTTATTTGCTGAAATACAAATTTATCGTTGAAATATGAAATTTAAAATTACGTAGGTTTTCCAAGGTCAAAAGGTCAAGATAACTGGTATCCAATAAAAGGTCCTGCCACAAAGAATACATATATGAAGTATGAAAGCCCTGGTCCTAACCGTTCAAAAGTTATGGCCAAGGTAAAAAAAAAAAAATTAAAAAGTAGCCCGTGGGTCAAACTCCAAGGTCAAAGGGTCAAAGTTCTCGATATCAAAGGAAAGGTCTGGTCACAAGGATTTTAAATTTAAAGTATGAAAGCACTAGCCCGAACCCTTTAAAAGTTATGGTCAAGTTTTATTTTTTAAAAGTAGGTCAAACTCCAGGTTGAAGGTCAAAGGATCAAAGTTCTTGGTATCCATTGAAGGATCTTCTCACAAGGATTGCATAATGTGTGAAGTATGAAAGCACTATAGCCCTTACAGTTCAAAAGTTATGGCCAAGGTAAAAGTTTTTTTTATAAGTACGGAAATATCCAAGGTCAAAGTTGTTGGTATCCAATGGAAGATCTTTCAACAAAGAATACATAATTATATGAAGTATAAAAGGCCTGGTATCTACTATCTACTGTTCAAAAGATATAGCCAAAGCAAAAGTTTGAAATTGTTTTGCCGGTAAAAGAGGGTCAAACTCCAGGGTCAAAAGATCAAATTTGGTTGTACCCAAAGAAACTAAGGTCTTGTCACAAGAAATACACATCTGAAATATGAAAGTCATAGCTCCACTAAATCAAAGGTAATTGGCAAGGTTCAAGTTTTTGCGACAAACAGACAGAAAGAAAGAGAGACAGACAGACGGACGGACACGACAAAAACTATATACCATCGGAACTTCGTTTACGAGGTCATAAAACCTTTTAACTATATTACTTTTAGGAGCTGGAGCATTGCCATCTGTTTGAAAAATGTCAGTCAACATTCGGCCTAACAATAGATTAATTACATTTTTAGCAAGTTCATTAATTGAATTGATTAGACTACTTCTTTGCAAAATGACGTTATTAAAGCGAGACTGCTTAATTTCTTGTAATGTCAGATTGTTTTTCAATAGTATGTACTGGAGTATTATTTTAGAAACTGTACATGTACCTAAAACATGTTAATTATTGTCTGCGGAATCAACTGGGAGACTATTTTCTACATGCCGTGATAAATTTGCAATGGTACGAGGGTTGATCTAAAAGTTAATACATTTAAAAATTGAAAGTGTTCAATAAAAGGTATGAACTGTATTAGCTTTTGAAAAAGACGACTGGTAAATACTTCAATTTCCATTTTTCTCTGGGGTACATGTAACTCTTTGAAAATTTAAGTGGGTTAATTTGTTGATAATTTAATCAGAATGTAAATTTCGCCAAGGAAACGTTCAGGAGAAATTTAAATTGCGGAAAATTTACCATGTTTGCAAAACTTTCTCGGGAGGGTCCCGATCCATTGAAATATGGACACATGTTCCATATCATCCCCCTCCTTTTCTAGAGTTTCTGGACCCATCACTGTGAGCTAAAAAGTTATTATAGGACTTTTAATTTTTTATGCAGTTCCGACGAGCTTATCAGAAATATTTTTTGAAAAAAAAAAATGTTACCCAGGAGAATAGTCCATTTTCGAGTTATCAATCTACAATATTGTATAATGCATATATACGGAACTGAAGACCGTTTTTGGACCGACGTTTATCCACTTCCTAAAATTTCACCGCAAGGTGTCGCTAAAAATCATTTTCCTGTTTAGTAAAAATGGATTTTATAAAACATGTTCGTGTTTTTCATCCAAAGCCAGAATAGATAATAGAAGAAAGCCTTTTTATTCATCTTTCAGTAATGGATATAGACGATTCACCACGTAAGTATATGAAAATGTGTGCACTATAAATCAAATCCAATATTGTATGCGTTCATTGCGTTGCTATTCTTTATGATTATGATATCCTTATCGTACAGTTACAGGTGTCTTTTAATAATCCTTAAAGTACCTCTTCCCCAACTGAATGTACTCATTAATTTAATAGTAATTACCACCAAACATTTTGGAGGAAACAGATATACACGTAGATCTATATAATTAATCTTGCTGATCATATCATGTCTATATCCTGGCGTATTGTATTTTCGACCTATTTAGATGTTATTTATTAATTTATTGTAAACTTTACAGAATCTGAAAAAATAACAAAAGATATGTATGTATAAATAAAATGATATAACCCAAATTCCAGTTTTGTGTTTATTTTATTTATATGCCATAATATTGGTAGTGTGCATTTTCAACTACAAAAATATTAGCGTCTTGTGTTATCGACCTAAATATAGTATCAATTATCAGTATTGGCTATAAATACATTGGATATTCCAAAAAATAAAAATCCACAATGTTCATAATACTTTCAAAAAAAACATTGAACAAGTTGCATATTTTTTGAACATTTATTCGTTGGTTGAACCCAATCAGTAGCAATTTGCATTTCCCCAAAAAATCAATGAAATTACGTTGCATTTTTCAGTAAAAATCTGTAAGAAAGTGCTCATATTTAAGGATGAAAAAAAAATTGTTTGATCCACCCATTCATTTCAATATTCATGTGTCTCTTTGACAGAGATCTTAATTTTCTTTCGGAAAAATGTCATTAAAAAATCTTCATAATTAACCGATTACGACTTTAATTAATCACAGATAAAATGTGCATTAGTAAAAGACTAGAATTTTCATCGGACTAAAACCATCGGGGGAATTCATTGAATCAATTATTTTGGATATTTTCACCACAGTTGTGCTTTAAAATTTTTCAAGTGTACCAACCGAAAATAATGTTTATTAGTGCACGGGAAGCAATGGAAAATATATAAATTATACAATACATTGAATGCATATAAGACGATAATTACTTACTTACATTGCAAACGTAAATACAGATATTCACTTAATTTTGTCAACAATATTGAAACCCAACAAAAATGTGTAAATTAAAATTTTTACATTAATTGTAAAAGGTCAACAATCGGTCATTGATATCCCAAGCCACAGTCTCAACAATTTGGTCTAAGATACAATAATTATCACTATTCATTACTTTAGAAGAAAATTGAAGTCCACAATGTTCATAATACTTTCAACTCAAATCAATACAGACTTCAACTTTGAACTTCACTTATTTGACAATCTACAATTTGGAGTTCGATATTTGGCATTACATTGTACTTTCAGCATAATGATTGTTCAAATTATTCAATTGTCACTACTGTAAACAATGTCATGCCCCAGAAATCTTGCGAGATTTAAAGCTTTTTCGACTCCCCCACATAAAGAACAGAAGTAAAGTAGACAACTGCGATGTACTCGCAATATTACATGTATTAACATCAGAAACCATATATGCGCACCCAATTTTCAAGACAACTCGACTCATATGATATGTTTGATGTCACTTTTCAGTTAGATTTTAAAATATGGGGGCAATAAGTAAATACTTTTATTAGTCTAAATGGAAAATATATAAATTATTTATTAAATTCATTGAATGTCATATAAGAATTAGAATTACCGGTAAAAGGTTGATAAAATATTCATTAATTTTGTCATCAATATTGATGTAGAAAATTTGCAACTTTTTACATTAATTGTAAATCATTTCAATATCCTCAAAAATTAAAATAAATACAACATGTCAGCAACCATTAAATCAGCAATAACATTTGCAAATACCAAAGAAGAAGATAGCTGTGTTCATGCTAATACAGTTTGTGAATTTATTTGATGTTTAATTTGTTTTATTCTGTTGGGTTTTGTGAGATGAAATATGTCATGGTCTGGAGCAGGAGCATTGTGTTGTTGTGTTGCTCTATTTTGACATTACATTAAAAAAAATCATTCTTGGTTAAGAATGATCATTCTACTGCCTCAAACACCAGTGAAATGGTCAATCAGAATATTTTTTACAAAACAGCTGCATTAGAATGCAGTCTATACGAAAGTCACCGGACTGTCGGTTTTTACCGGTAAAATTTAGGTCGGGTCGGTAAAAAATTTCAGTATACAGGACCAAATGTCCGGTATAAAATAAAGCCAAATAAATCTAAATTAAGAGGTCATGTTCCAATTCCCCACAAATATCCTTTATTTGACCAATTTAGCAGTAATACCTGATTAATTTTTATGTATTACAACCCTGTCATGATCGTTTTTATTCTAATTCGAATTTCCTCTGTCAAGGGTTAGAGATCTTTAGATAGCCCAAATGTAGATTTTGTTGGGAAAATATTTAGATAGCTCATACGTAGATTCAGTAGGGAATTTGTTTTCAAATGATTATTGAACTTGAGTAACCATATAATGAGTTGTTTCTGGAAAAATAAATATGCATTGAAAGTCCATATTAAATTTAAGATTATATTTGATACAGTGTATGTTGTCGAAGTCAAATATGAAGGGAAAAATGCATACCATTGTATAAATAGATACCTTTTACAAAGGAAAATTATAAATAGGTAACTTGTCCATTTCACTCTGAATTTATTTAAGGTTAAATTTCACAGTGAGAATTGACCTCATCCCACCCACCTCAATCTCAGTATCATAATGATGTATGGATTTAAAGGGGAAAAAAAGTCGGTCTGGTAAAAAATTGCTTGGTCTGATAAAAATTTTATTTTTACCAGACATTTTGTCCTGTAAAAAATTTTAACTTTCGCGTAGAATGAGAATGTGTATTGAATTATATTTTCTGTACTTAACTGTAATGTATTAACATTTTACTTACACAGGTAGTGGAGGCAGTACTCCTGTTATGGATGAACCAACCTACCACGAGGAGGAATCTCAGCAGGTTTGCTTATTATTATTTTTTTTAGGAAATGTTGCAAAATTGTGTTGAAGTAAAATTAAATAAGTGTAAGTATAGTGAAAATAAAGAAATTTAATGCCTCAAATCTTTACTGTGACACATACTTTTAGGAGATGGACATAAACAAAGCAGAAAGTGACAATGAGGGGGATGGTGAAATTAAATCTCCCAGAAATAGAGACTCTAATATGGACGATGATTATGTAAGTGATGGTGGAGAGGTGGAACGAGAGGAAGTGGAGAGGGACATGGCAGATGACGACGAGGGGCCAGCATCTCCAGAAAGTGGACCAATGTCTCCTGAAGGGTCAAATCCAGCCTCTCCAGCAGACCCACAGTCTCCCATGGATGGACCTAGGTCACCAGGCTGTCCAGAGCAGGATGAAGGACCTGCATCACCAGCTGGAAGTTATGAGGGACCACTATCCCCGCCAGGCAGCGGGAGTCCACCTGGATCCCCAGAAGAAGGTCCTCTGTCTCCTCCTCCCTCACCCGCTTCTCCTGGGGCCCAAGGACCAGCCTCACCAGATGGCAGTGGTCCTGCTTCTCCGGATGAACCAAGGTCTCCTGGATCTCCCGGGTCCAATAGAAGTAGAAGCAGATCTCCCACTCAAAGTCAAAATGGCTCTCCTAGAAGCAGAAGTAATTCACCAGATCACAGTCAAAGGAGTTCTAGAAGTAGGTCTGGTTCACCAGTCAGAAGTCAGTCAGGATCTCCAGCAAGGAGTCGCTCAGGTTCTCCTAGAAGCAGGTCTGGATCACCAGTGCGGAGTAGGTCAGGTTCACCAAGAAGCAGATCAGGTTCACCAAGAAGTAGGTCAGGTTCACCAAGAAGTAGGTCAGGTTCACCTAGAAGCAGATCAGGTTCACCAAGAAGCAGATCAGGTTCACCGAGAAGTAGGTCAGGTTCACCAAAAAGCAGATCAGGTTCACCGAGAAGTAGGTCAGGTTCACCAAGAAGTAGGTCAGGCTCACCAAGAAGTAGGTCGGGTTCAAGATCTAGATCAAGAAGTCGATCTGGCTCTAGGAGTCGCTCTGCATCCCCAAGAAGCAGATCAGCATCACCAGTAGCTGGAAGTGATGAAGAAAAAGAGAAAGAAAAAGGTTAGTACATCAGGTTTAATTCTTCAAGAAAAAAATTTCTATGGTTAAGATCCGATTTTGGATTCCTTTTTTTTGAGGGCCGACACAAATGTCATAAAAAATGTTCAGTTACCAAATTGATAGATACAAAGCAGAAACTTATCTGTATTTTGAATTTATCTTTATGTAAATTGTTGTAAGCATTACATTGAAAGGAAAGTCTGAACCTCCATATGTTGTCATGTTCTTAAATATATTTATCGACAACTCTTTCATATGGTTTTTAATGAAAAAATAAGACCCACAGTTGGCCTTATTGAACTTGTTATACAACCAAAATGTATGTTAATCAAAATTGAAGAAAAGCAAATTCACTGACATTGAAATATGATTTGATTGCAGCACCAGGCAGTGATGATGAAAATGACACAGATAAAGAGTAAGTTGAATTTCTAAACACAATTCTTTATATATTGTAAAAAAAAATGATTGAATATGTTAACTTTTCTGATCAGAAGGTTTCCAGCTTATTAATTTTGAAATGAACATGTATATAAATCATCAAATGTTAAAAGAAAATAGTAACAACAAAGGATATTCCTTAAAAGTTAATCATGATACTTTACATTTTTTGGAGGGGGGGTTACCTTTGAATTTTTTTCAACCCTAAATGTGGTGGGTTAAATAATGTGATTTGCTTAATTTTGAATTTTCCGTTTATTTCAGTGAGTTAATCGCAGACATTTTTGGCTCCAGTGATGAGGATGAGGAGTTTGAGGTGTGTACTGAAAGTCACATTTTGTTCATAAAAACTTTGTTTTCACATAATATTGCAAGATGGTTTTTTTTCCCAAAAAAAAAACAAACAAAAAAAAAACTTCTTTCCCATTATTTTCTTTAATATAGATTATATATTTGTTAACAAATTACCATAATGCAATAAAATTTGTTTCACTAGTAAATAATAAAGTGACATGAAAATTTTGTGATTTACTGAAATGTTCATTGAAGTTTTAATCCACGAATTTAGGTATCTTTAAGTTTTAAGAAACATTAATCATGCATCTGTTTTTCAAAGGGTTTTGAAGAAGCTGATGTGGAAGCAGCAAAGAAGAAAAAAGAGAAGAAGAAGGGAAGTAAGTGAAGTGGACTCACTGTACAAGTCTCGGTTTTTCCTTTGAAATACTGTAAATCAACTTATTAGCTTGCAAGAAATATCCCAAGATTTCAGGACTTATTTTAACTCAGTTGAGCATTGAGGCCCATGGGGGACTTTTTGTTGATTTTTTTCTTTCTTATTTATAAGTTATTTTTTTTTTTTTTTTTTTTTTTTTACAATTTTAACTCCATTCTTTGACTTTTGTCAATCACTCTGAGGGGACCTTGCGGACTGATCAATATTTTGAGTTTTCAAAGATAGAGCTATGAAATACCAAGTAAATCTAAATGCTAATGAATGAGTTATATTAATTTGCAGAGGAGTCCAAGGCTATCGTGTCTGATGACGAGGAGGGGGGAGGAGTCACGGGGGTGGTGGAGGAGCCCCAGGGGGTACTACCAGATGTGTCCTCAGATGAAGAGGAGGTCAACAAGTTAGTATTCCCAGTACCTCCCACACTCCAAACGGGTCATCTTAGTCAATCAGATGACAAGGCCCAGGGATCATAACAAATTTTAAGCTTAAGACAAAATCTGTATTTGATGATAAAATGTTGTAGAAGTCAAGCGACCAAAATTAAAATATTTTGCAACATTGCTTCTCAGAAGTGTTGTTATCTGAAAATTTCGAAATAAATTCCCTAATTCATGAATATTTTATAGGCGATTGAAAATTTGACTTAAGTCTAAGTTTGTTTCATGATTCTAGGGTCAGGTCCCAGGATCATGAAACAGATGCAGACTTAAGTCAAATTTTCAGTAAATGAAAGAATGTTTATTAATTATCAGATTAATCTTTTAATTTGGAAATGACAGCACTTTTGTGAATCAATATTGAAACATATTTTGATTATTGATTTGCTTGACTTCTACAACCTTTAGTACAACATGAAAATTTTATTCTTAAGCCTAAGATGTTTCATGATCCTAAGACCAGTTTTTATTCCAAGTTTGTCTGTCCTAATTAAATTTTGGAATTTAATATATTTTCTCATCTTAAAATTTTTGTTCAGAACTATTAGGGCCAATTTATCTTAATTCACTATGCTTTAGAGATGGAGATTGTTTAAATATTTTTACTTCAAGACAGTTCCAAATTGTATATGCTGTTTTCAGAAATGAGGGTTTTTTTGTTTTTATCCTTTCATTAAGAGTTCAAAGTGGGACAGACTTTAGCCAAATTTATTTTAAATTTGAAAGTACAGCTGTATACTTCAATACATTAATTTTTTCTGATCATACTTCTTATGCATTGGATGTCTAATGATGACCATCGTTGTTTTCAGAAATGACATAGTGTCAGATTTTGATTTAATGTTGATGAGGAAAAAAGAAGAAATGAGAAAAAGAAAGAAACGTCGGCGGGATGTGGACATCATAAACGACAATGATGACCTTATTGCTGACATGATTGTCAAAATGAAGGAAGCTGCAGAGGTGATTAAAATATCAGTTAATTAGTAACTAAGTTGTTAGTAAATAGAGTTACAGTAATCTTGTTTTTAATGAATACACTCTTTAGAATGAAGTGATTTTTATTCCCGTGTACAGTAAAACACACGTATAGATAGCACACTTATTATAATGAATTGATGCTTATATCAAAGGGATTTTCATTTCCTATGGGTTTTAAACATATTGTAAAGCTAATGAATATAACAAATTACATTTATAATGAAACATAATTGTCTGTCCCTGGAATGTCATTATAAGCATGTTTTTTTACTGTATTTTTTTTATTTACATATCAGATAATTACAAATTACTGTAGACGTACTTTTTTCCACGGGGTCATAATTCCGCGGAATCTCAATATCTGTTTAATCCGCGAGTAGAAAATTACGCGGATTTTTTAGATTGTCACTATATGCCTTACATTTATAATAAGTACACTTGGACAAATTTCCGCGGAATATTTGTGACCGCGCACATAGCGTAAATTAATACCACGTGGAAAAATGTACTTCTACAGTATATGTTTCTAAAATATCAAAATTTTTGTCTGTCTCACTAAATTCTAAGCAGGTTTTACTGTGTTTACTTAGAAGTTCATAATCATTAGAGCTCAAGTAATGCATTGTTATAAGCTTATGTACATGTAAGAAATAAGAATGGCTGTCCATAGATTAGTTTGTTATATTTCCAACATTTTTGTCAAATGAACATGTACTTTTTTGTTATTTTGAATGTTAGAATTACCATTGGCCGACTATTTCAGGATGATCGTGAACTCAACATGCAGAAGAAACCAGCCATTACTAAACTGAAGATGTTAAGTCATGTCGTATCTCAACTGAAGAAGTAAGTGGAACTTATGTTAAGTTTTTAAAGAAAAATTTTCCACTTTTGTTATTAGTTTTTAAAGAAAATTATCGACCAATTTTACCATGCAGCTTCAACCACTTGATGAAAGCTATAAATTTCTTAACTTTTTATGTAATACGGAGATCAACATTTTTCAGTATACACATAATAGTGATCAAAGAGTCATCTACCAAAAAGCTAGACTCACATTTCTTTAAACAATAAAATTTTTGTTATCATTACAGAGCTGATCTTCACTCGGCCTTTCTGGACTGTGGGGTGCTCAGTGCTATGACGGTGAGCATGGTTGTCTTCATTATCTAGAGGAGCATTATACTCTTTTTCATCAGAGTTAAAGGCTTCACCGTATCTGACCATTAGTGTGGCTCCAGAATCTTTTTAACACATTTTAAAATATGTAAATAATTATGTTTATTTATGATAGTTAGTAATGAAAAGGTAAATCAATGCTGACAATATTTTACATTTCAGGAATGGCTGGCTCCTCTACCAGACAAAAGTCTGCCCCATTTACAGATCCGAGAAAAATTTCTACGCATCCTACAAGAGGTGATTTTATTTTATGAAAATAATTTGCATTTTAAATAAAAAGTAGAGTTGTATTTAGAAAGATTTTGACAAGATCTTACCGATTTTTTTTTCACAGTTTCCTGCCATCAGTCAAGAAGGACTGAAGGGAAGTGGCATTGGTAAGGCCATTATGTATCTGTATAAACATCCAAAGGAGACCAAAGAAAACAAGGAGAGGGCTGGCAAACTCATCAGTAAGTCAAGCATGTAACAGTAAAAACAATCTAATCAGACATCCATGGGGAGACAATTTGTTGTCAGAATAGAAAGGGTGTCAAATTACATAGTAGAGAAACTAGTGAAGGGTCAGAACTTACAGTGAAATCTCTGAATTGGATTGCACAGGTGTTTGATTGTACAGTTTTCAGAGTATTTAGTAATGGCACTATTACATGTCTAAAGATAGTAGTGAACACCTAAATGATAAAACTGATTTATTATGCAAAAATAAAACTAAATTAGTGTAAAGGGAAAACGATATTGTTTAGTACATTTGTATTTATGAATAAAGAATAAATCAGAAACCTGTCTCATTTTGGTGACCTAGCTGCAAGCATGGGCTGTTTCATGTCATCTAGCTTTAGTTGGATTCAAACCTCAATGTGGGACATAGTCTTGTTTACATTTTAAGAAAAGAAATATTTTGATTTTAAATTTTTTCATGCATCCTTGATTGAGGCCTCATGGCAAGGCTAAATTGGCTATAAAATTGCAATTTCATTAATCTTTGAAGGTGTTCTTTACAGAATTATATATAAACTTAAAAATTTAAGGATACTTTATGATCTTAAAAAGATGAATTTGTTTTACGGGATTATGAAACTGACATATCCTCAGTTGACCAAGATTCATACCAGAGTTTGATCCAAGTTCATTGTTTATTAAAAATTCCTTGTATCTTAATAACTTCCAAGAGACAAAGTTCATATAACGTGATAATGAAATCTATACATGTATGTAACACCTTTACTTGAAGGAGTTGATTGAAAACTAAATGGATAAAACAAGCATTGTTCATACATATACTTCACCATATATGTACATATTTGTTTGAATAGTTTGAATGATCTACATATGAAATATGGGATAAAAACACATTTTCTTGAATATAGTGGCATTAGCATGATTAGGGCATCTATATTAGAATGGCTAAGAAAGTTAAACAGAGATCAAAATAACTTATCAAAGATAGCTTACCCATATATCCCAGATAATGTTTATGCAAAGAAATCACATGATTTATAAAAGACAAAAAATTGAACCATCGGGAAAAATCTCTTGGAATAGAATATTTGATTTGAGCAATGATGAATGGGAGATAATCTATTTACTTCCATTCAAAAGTACAAAAAACACCAAACTTCAGTGGTTCCAATTTAGAATAAACCATAAAATTCGACAAATTCCTTCCTACACAAAATTAATAAAACTGATGATAAAAAATGTACCTTCTGTAAAAAAGAAACTGAAACCATAGAACATTTGTTGTGGGAATGTGAACATGTTCAGTCTCTTTTAATTTTGCAAACTACTGTTTCAATAAAATTCACACCTCTATAACCTTTTCAAAAAAAGAATTTTTAGAAGAAAACTGATAAACTTAAAAATATTATTGCCTTACAAATAAAACATTATATCTATCTGTACAAATGTACAAACAAAAATAAGGTGGTTTGATATCCTCTATTAAGACAATGTATGATTTACAAAAATATATATCTTATAAAAATAATGAAAAAGGATCCTTTGATGAAAGCTGGAGACCATTAACTGATTTATTTTCTTAATCATCTCTCTCTCTCTCTCTCCTTTTCTCTAAAAATTAAAAAAAAAAAAAAAAAAAAAAAATATATATGTACATATATTACAAAACGATATTCTCATTTCAGATGAATGGTCCAGACCCATCTTTAATCTGACTTCTAACTTCAAGATGCTGTCCAAACAGGAAAGAGAAGAGAGAGATTATGAGCAGCTGCCAAAGAAAAGAAGAGTCAGGTAGAAGAGAGGAAATAATCAGTCATATTTAAATACAACAAAACTACAGACTAGAGAGTTCATGCAAGTGCATGATGTTCAACAATTATATTTGTTTTTGGCTCTTTAGCTATCTGGCTGTCTGACTGCAAGCCATTTTTCAAAATCTCTATCTTCTTATCTTCAATATAAATAAAATTTGGCAAACAAGTACATGTAGATTTCACCAGCATACATTATTCTGTGTTTTTTATTCAATTTTGACCCACAAGGTTTACATGTAGTTGCATAAAAACAGAAAATGCTGTGAAATTATAAACACTACTTTGCCTGCAGTTGTGATCTCATTTCAATAAAACTTGGTACATAATTAGTGCAAAAAATTAACGACAGACTTAGAGAATTTTGGCTCATACTAGTATGTTAGAAAACAGTCTTGGCTGTAATTCAGTGTCATGTCCACTCATTCCCAAAACTGGGGGGGGGGATGTCACTACACAATTTTCTACTTCAAAGTTTTCATTTCAATGATATTTATCCCTGTTCAAATCAGTATTAAAAGGACATGTATAAAGTTCTCCTAGTATGTATATAATAGAAAAGTAATTGATGATAAGGATTACTAATTAGGATTACTAATTAAGCTTACTTGTTGGTTTGCAGTGCAGAGGGAATGACTCCCAGGAGAGACATTGACAAAGCTTTAGTAGGAGAAGACAAGTAAGTGTTAATTGATTAAATAAAAAATCATGGACTTTGATATCTCAAACATCTTATCTCAAATGTCATGGATCTGTTTGTCATGAGCTGAAAGTTCCAACCAATTCTCATTGAATTTTATCCTTAGTATCTCAAATCCTAAGATATACAAAAAAATTTCTAATTCCTGTCGAATTTTAGATAACAAGATTTGACTTTCTTATGAACTTGGAAATTGTTTTAATGGTAGAGATGCACTATGAAATGATATGTAATCAGGAAAATTTGAAGATAAAAATTTCAATGTGATTTGTGTTTTACAGACAGCTAAGACCAGGTGATAAGGGTTGGATAAACAGAGCTAGAGTACCTATGCCCTCGCACAAAGACTACGTTGTACGTCCCAAATGGGCAGTAGAGGAAGGAATGCAAGGAAAGGTAACAAGGACAGCATTATTTCGTCACTTGTGAAATCCAGTAAAATTATGTGAACATAAGAATTTTCTAAGGAACCTAGATTTAGTTCCTTTTAAAAATACAGCAGTATAATAATTATCTTAAATACAGTGGTGTCTAGTTAATCTGGACACTTCACCTACTGGACAAACTTTTCTTTGGGGTGGGGTAGGGTACAAGTCATTATACATAGTATGATTCAATATCCCAGAAAATCTGTTCATGAACACAAGGCAAGGCTATATAATATACCGGGTATATCATTTACTGTAATTTAAGGGAATCTCAAAAAACACATTTTATATACATACATGAATACATAATATTCTCTTTGTGATGCTCTACATTCAAAGTTGACCTACCTTGAACAGCTTTCTTTTTAAGATGTAATGAATTTAGTCAAAAACGTAGTTTAATTTCTCAAACAGTACTGTATTGGCAAATTTAATTGAGGACCAAATTTTTGCTAGTTTGAAAATAACATTTGGCTAAAAATAACCATGTATTCAGTAATTCTCATGAAAAATAAACAGGTATAGCAAGTCATCTTCATAAAAGACTTGAACAGAGGTTTTAATCTATTAAAAACAATATAGAACCTGTACGTTAATGATATAAAAAGTAAGATTTTGTGTTGTAGTCCTTCAAGGATTAGTGAGGATTGTACATGTATTTGAAACCCTTGGCTTGTGAAGATGGAGTTTTATACATTTTACTTAATAGTATTTTGTGCTTTAAAGTATAGATATGGTTTATAAACTTTTTATTATTACTTTTTCAGAGCTCTGGCAAGAAAGCCCCATCAAGGTATGATAAGCATGTTAGAGCATTCGCAGAAAAGAAGAAGTTCAGTAAGGCTCAGAGGGCAGTTACTATCAGTATAGAGGGCAGAAATATGGCCCTCTGAAGCGCCAGATGTTGGGCACTAACAAGTCTCTAGAGTTGTGAAGTTAGTAAACGTATCAGACAGAATATTTTGGTTGGACTCTCATAGGAAAAAATATGAATACTGAGTATGTGAGAACAGCCATTTTGAAATTACGAATTTTGAAATGAATGAGAAAAAACAAGTGTGTTTTCCTGAAAGGAATAAAAGATATTCATCATAATTCATGGGTGTGTAACTGAACGCTATCAGCCATTGCATAGGTATCATACATGTTGTGAGGAACTGTTTTAAGGACATAGTCGGTGCGGAGACGGATAATCACATGATGCTCGCTGTTAAGACATGGAATGCATGTGTTTATTACCGGTACTCTTCATCTGTGAATCAGGAGCATTTTATTTCTTTATGGCATCTTCTTAAAATGCTTGAAATATTTTGAAAGGTTTTGGATTTACAGACAGAGAATATTTTCCAGGCATTGTGTACATGTACTACATCATATTTTATAATTCACAATTTTGTACAAACTTTATATCTTTTAAAGGTATGAAAAAAGACATTCTGTATCTGATTTTCAGCTTAAATTAGCTCCATTTATGTCCATTCTCATGATTTCATATTAAAAGATTGTTGATACAGATACAGTTTTAAATGGAAGTGCTGTTTTTTCCCCATTCCATTAAAAACAGAAATAAAAGTCATTTGTCCTCTTGTTGATGCGTTTAATAATGTGTGAATCAATTGGTATTCATTGGAAGTTGCACATCAAGCTCAATGCATAATAGAGCCTGAATGTGTCTTAAAAAAGAAACAAAAATACTAGAATGGTCTTTAAAAACAAAATAAGGCAACACTTTTGTTACGCATGCTTTGTGCAGTTTATTCCAGTATAACCAGATTCACATTTACAGCTACTTCCGGTCTGATGGGCCTTACACTGACATGTGCAGTTAGACTGGTCAACTGTTGCTCCATTGTAGCAGAAGGTGTTACAGTGACTGGTACAATCAGTTCCTATTAATTGTGAGAAAAATGAGTAGTTAACATAGACACTTCCCTTAAAAGTTTACAGTAAAACTCAGTTAAAACGAAAACACTTATAATGAATTAATGCTTAATTAAATGTTAATTAAAGGATATAAAGAATTATGTTTATTACGAAGCAAAATCGACTGTCTCTGGCACTTCATTATGAGGGGTGATCAAAAAGTTTGAGAACAAATTGAATACTAGTAACTTCCATAAAACAAATAAAATTAGGTTTCAGTGTTCATTATTTTTTAAAGTAGCCCTCTCTGATTTTAATGCATATCTGCCTCTGTTCTGCCCATGCCCGAATCACATGATCCAGACAGTCATGTGACGAGCTCTGAAGCATTCTGTTCATAAACGCTAAAATGTTTTTCCAAATCTTCTATATTTCTTACGATGCAAGTTGATTTTTATAACAAGAACAGCCATTTGTCAGAAATGACCAAATCTTTGAAAGAGGATGGTTGGTAAAAGATTAATATCCTTTCCCAGAAAGACCATGGCGACCATCACAACCCGAGTCCTCTGTCTTAGGAACGTCAATTTTAACCACCTCCCTCCTTTCACTAAAACAATCAATCCAATTTATTATTGAACTTCTGGAAAGTCTATTGTTTTCATAAACCTTGTACAAATTACTATAAGATACTTCAAAGGAATTTCAAAGTTATACGTTAAACTGTACAGCAGTTCGTTTCTCAAGGAAGACTGACAATCATTTTTCATCACAAGTCACCTACATATTGATGTAATTTTCACCACGTGACGTCACTATGTTGGAGAAAATCATTACTTTTCAGCAGAAGTATTTATAGAACATGACTATAGGAGTGTCAAATTTCATTGTGATCTGAATCGTGGTTTTGTAATATTATAGAGATAGTTCGCGAACTTTTTGATCACCCCTTGTATAAGCGTGTTTAATTGTTACAGTACACATTAAGACAGAGGAAGAGGCAGCATCACATTGTATGATGTCAGTCTCAAACAAAAAGGATTTAGATCACTTCATTCCGACTGAATCAATTTTACTTTTATTTTGAACTGCTGTCTTTCAAGCCTTGAAAGTATTGGTCATGATGTTTTTGTTATTGATATAAACTTTACTTACAAAACATTGAAACTGAAGTGTTAATTTTTAAATAACGTATTAACAAGAGGCCCATGGGCCACATCGCATACCTGAGTAAATTGGGTAATGCAGTTCTTGACCAGATTTCCCGTCTTGCTAGTATATCTATCGTGCCCCCTTACCCCCTTCCCTTTCATGATTTTAATACTTTAGAATCTACACTATACCACAGGATGCTTCTACATAAGTTTCAGCTTTCCTGGTGATTTTTGAAAAGAAGATTCATAAGAGATTTGTTCTGTGTATTTCTATGTAAAATTTGGATTCCCTATTGATTTGTGGCCCCGCCCTACCCCCCGGGTTCATGATTTAAACAATTTAATATCTACACTACCCAAGGATGCTTCCACGTAAGATTTAGCTTTCCTGGCCCAGTGGTTCTTGAGAAGAAGATTTTTAAAGATTTGTCCTATATATTTCTATGTAAAACTTGGATTCCCTATTGATTTGTGGCCCCGCCCTACCCCCTGGGTTCATGATTTAAACAATTTAATATCTACACTACCCAAGGATGCTTCCACATAAGATTTAGCTTTCCTGGCCCAGTGGTTCTTGAGAAGAAGATTTTTAAAGAATTGTCCTATATATTTCTATGTAAAACTTGGATTCCCTATTTTGGCCCCGCCCTACCCCTGGGGGTCATGGTTTTGACAATTTAATATCTACACTACCCAAGGATGCTTCCACTAAAATTTAAGCTTTCCTGGCCCAGTGGTTCTTGAGAAGAAGATTTTTAAAGATTTGTTCTATATATTTCTATGTAAAACTTGGATTCCCTATTGTGGCCCCGCCCTACCCCCAGGGGTCATGGTTTTGACAATTTAATATCTACACTACCCAAGGATGCTTCCACATAAGTTTCAGCTTCCCTGGCCCAGTGGTTCTTGAGAAGAAGATTTTTAAAGAATTGTCCTATATATTTCTATGTAAAACTTGGATTCCCTATTGTGGCCCCGCCCTACCCCTGGGGGTCATGATTTTAACAATTTAACATCTACACTACCCAAGGATGCTTCCACATAAGTTTCAGCTTTCCTGGCCCAGTGGTTCTTGAGAAGAAGATTTTTAAAGATTTGTTCTATATATTTCTATGTAAAACTTAAATTCCCTATTTGTGGCCCCGCCCTACCCCCCAGGTTCATGATTTAAACAATTTAATATCTACACTACCCAAGGATGCTTCCACATAAGTTTCAGCTTTTCAGGTCCAGTGGTTCCTGAGAAGAAGATTTTTAAAGATTTGTTCTATATATTTCTATGTAAAACTTGGATTCCCTATTGTGGCCCCGCCCTACCCCCGGGGGTCATGATTTTAACAATTTAACATCTACACTACCCAAGGATGCTTCCACATAAGTTTCAGCTTTCCTGGCCCAGTGGTTCTTGAGAAGAAGATTTTTAAAGATTTGTTCTTTATATTTCTATGTAAAACTTAAATTCCCTATTGTGGCCCCGCCCTACCCCCGGGGGTCATGATTTTAACAATTTAACATCTACACTACCCAAGGATGCTTCCACATAAGTTTAAGCTTTCCTGGCCCAGTGGTTCTTGAGAAGAAGATTTTTAAAGATTTGTTCTTTATATTTCTATGTAAAACTTAAATTCCCTATTGTGGCCCCGCCCTACCCCCGGGGGTCATGATTTTGACAATTTAATATCTACACTACCCAAGGATGCTTCCACATAAGTTTCAGCTTTCCTGGCCCAGTGGTTCTTGAGAAGAAGATTTTTAAATGGCCCCACCCTATTTTTGTCTTTTCTTGATTATCTTCCCTTGTAAGGGGACTTGACCCTTCACTTTAACAATTTAAACTCCCCTTTACCCAAGGATGCTTTGTACCAACTTTGGTTAAAATTGGCCCATTGGTTCTTGAGAAGAAGTTGAAAATGTGAAAAGTTTACAGACGGACGGACGGACGGACAACGGACAAAATGTGATCAGAAAAGCTCACTTGAGCCTTCGGCTCAGATGAGCTAAAAAGATTGACTCACCGTAAAATCCACTTGGACAGTTGCATGAGCAGATATTTGTGTTATATGTTCCACCATTAGCACACCGACCTTGACACGTTTTAACTTGAGAGAAAAATAACCCATTTATTCTTTTCAGGTTTCAAACAAAGAATGCTTATATATTTCAAGACTTGCTGTAATATTTAAGAACAAACTCACCAGATTTTGGGAGAGAATAGGCAAAGTTAATGCCTGTATTGTTGAAATCCTTATTTTGGAAAATCTGAAATTTGAAAAAGTCACCGGGATGTATTTCAAAATGCAATTTTATATTAAAAGGAAGGAAATAAAATAGTTTTCTTTAACTGAAAAATTATATTTAAGATGGGATAACCTTGATAATTGCTGGTTCAGTTATTGGTCCTTTCGTGTATAGATACTGATCATGGAAGAAGTAGTGCCAGTGGGTGCCAGCAAATGTGATAGGGTTGTCTCCTGTCTGAAAGATCCAGCTACTTCCTATCATACTCGCCAGGACCACCGCCCCATCCTTGGTGTAGATTTCTAGGTCAAGGACACAGAGAATCAATGTATTTTAACGGACTCTTAATTCCATTGAGTAGTTAGGAATACTCTAAAGCAGATTTATACATGTACTTCTGGAAAAGATACATTTCTGCAAACCAAATATAAATCTTTTGTGTATTACTTGCGTATAAGGTAATGTTAACATATGTGGATTTACACAGGTCAAAAGCAGATAAGTGAAATGATCATAGTTTTCTTGCATGTATCGTATCCCCTTGCACTTTTTCCTGACGTAACGCGGTCAACAGGGATGGGTCAATCGATTTCAGATGAGGGGGGGGGGGGGGGGGGGGCTTGATCCGAAAATGTTTATTGAATGTAGTACATTTTCATGTAAATGCAGTTATATTTATATCAGTAATTTTTTTTTTTTGAATGAAGTTTTTAAAATTTTGCTCACACAAGAGTCTTACCTAAATAGTTTTGTTTCATCGACATGTAGTCGAACCAGAACTGTATGTTATAGGCCCCAGCAGGAATCTCGGCAATTACTTTCCGGGAACCTGAGAATGACCAACAACATGAAATGGAAAATGGCATCAAGTTTTACATGTACTACATGGAAATATAGTGTGTATCTCTTCCAAAATCTCAAATAAGCAGGGCCAAGATGATAGATGTTGCACCATGGATTTTTCTTTTCTCCTTGTTCTTAGAAATGTACAATCCAGAATTATGAGTAAGCTTTTAGCCACTAATAACCCATTATTTGCACATCGGTCATCTTGTGCTACGAAGATAGCAAAATGTACCTCTAGTAGACAGCTCAGTAAACGTCCCTTCCACGACGTCACATGTCGTCTCGTCGCCATTACAAACACCACACCCGTCAAACGTACCTCCGTTAAATACCCCATCACAACCAAACATCTGAAATTAAATAAGTTATGAAATAAAGAAGAAGTCCCAAATTAGGTATGAATATAAAAAGTAATCAATATAGAGGAGGAAATTTCTAAATATTAATGACATTCAGGGGGAAACAAAACAAAAACAATACGACTTCAGAGATTTCAAATTAAGTCAGCATAAATATTCCATCTTCGCTAGCCAAGGGTTTCTGATACGCTACTCTCCTCATAAACCCTTGAGCGTATCAGAAACCCTTGGCTAGCGAAGATGAAATATTCAATTAAATTTCTTTCTCTTATTTGTCAAACCCTATTGGCATTTTCCACACCTTGTTTATCCATCTTCTTTGTTAAATTCATACTACTTTGCAAATCTTCTGGTAAAAAAAAGCTAAAATTCTATAAAATGGTTAAATACTTAGTATTCCGTTCATCAATGGAATAAACGATGCCATAAATGTCATTATTATATACAGAAAAAATTGCACGCAGTAATCGATTCAAATTGCTCTCCTCACACAAACCAATTTCAGTATTTAACTAGTTATAATAGAATAAATAAATTAAAATAAAGAGCAACGATTCAATAATGTTGCATTAACAATACGACAATTTATGTGTAATTATGCATTTTAAAAAATAATGTTGATTATTTGAAGAAATCTTAAATTGATTTTTAAAAAAATACGCAGGAAATGAGTTTGTGATATTTTCAAATAATTAAAGATTCACGAATTCTCTGTTATTTAATTGTCAATTTCAGTTTCATAGATCTAGACTTAGGCGATAGATGTGACCGTTTGACATTTATTAAGACGCCTACAACGCGTCTATTAAATATTGTAATACAGGTAGTTGTCTAATTATTCATTTTTATTTGAAAATTAAAATACTCGTTTAGTTATGTGCTGTAAATCACGTACTTATTTCAAGAAGATGGGGGAACAAGGCGAGCGAAATTCCTAGAGTGCGACAAACATGAGGTGAAGAATTTGATCTCAACGGTAACAAAGTGTTTTGTATACTTCATCCAACATCTAGTTATAATATTAAATTCCTCCACAATTTGCAAAAAATCTCACAAAGATTGAAATTACTTGCCCATAAAATAGGACATACATATGTATATACCTGAGTGACAAAACGGACCATTTCTTATGCTATGACACAATTTTTCGATATGAGTGTACAGGTCTTTACTCCATTTAATGAAATTTCAACCTAAAGTTTGTGTAAAATAGACATATATTTGGCAAGAATGCTAATCTCGAAGTAAAATAACACGCAGTGTTTTCATTGCCAAGGGTTTGAACCTTATGTTAACTATCTTACTTTTTGTTAATAAAAATATTTTTTGCGTAGAAAGTTTTCCCAAGAAAATTAAAAAATCAGTAAAAAACGGTGGTCTGATATCCCCTTCTGATGATTAAAATTATTTTTGAAAAACTTGAAAAAAAAAAAAAAAAAAAAAAAAAAATTTTGTAAAAAAAAAAACAAAAAAAAAAAAAAAAAAAAACAAACAAAAAAAACAATTATCCAAAATTTGGGAATATAAAGAAGAAATAATACCTGACAGTATCCATCTAAACACCTTGCACTGTAACCTTGCCTTCGAGGCCAGCCATCTCTATCCATCTTGTTCAGAATCCCTGGGCAGGGTGTTCCTTGGGGCATCAAACCGAACCTGGTGAACGTCGGAGTCTTGTACCCCGACACAGGGGCACAGGAAACCTCACACACCCCATGAGCTATAGAGGGAAATATCTTACTCAGAGCAAACATGTCTCCGGGGCAATAAAACTAAGACGAGGCTCACATTTTGACGTCAGTCTCGCTTTTCTCCCTTTTACAAAGTGAATCTACATATGTATTGTGGAAAATTGAGACTGATATCAAACATGCCGGTCTCATATACGTTTTACGTGTACGTGAATAAGAATATTGTAAATGTCGTTAACTAATAATGGAATGAGACATTTATATCATGGACTGTTGTGAACATGGATTTTTAATTCAATTAAAAAATAAAATGTTTTCTTTGGTTGTTATTACGGAAATAAATGTCGCAGCTTTTGCAGAAGAAATAACTTTTTTTTCAATAGCTGCGACGTCAATACCGTACTGACAACAAAAGAAAACATTTATTGTTTATATTTATATCTGTATAAATATGATTAAAAGGTATTTATTGTATTACTGAGACATATATGAACGTCATAGTATATTTCATGATGGAACAGCCACTGATAAAGAAATCTGAACAGCTAGATGATATGCCAAGTGTAGTTCACGGACCAATAAACAACAGTGATTTTCTTTAGAAATAAAGAGAAAAAAATATTCAGTGGATGACATAATTGGAGACAGCTAACAGTATTCAAGCTCAAATGTATATGAAACAATACAAAATGGAACAGAGCGAGCGCAAACCTCTGAAAGAGGTGGGATCAGGTGGCATGGAGGAGTGAGCATCCCCTGCCGATCGATCACTGTGCTTTTAATCATGATATGGAAATATCGAGAAAATTTGTCGACACTTCAGTGTGTATATAATGGCCTAACAAAATTATAGTATTAAAATTCTCAGTCAGCATTTGACTTACAGTATAAAAAATTTTATTTGCTGACAAGGTCATTGTATCGATCATAGAACTTACGAAATGATGACTTGAAACAATTCTTGTTTCATCATGTTTGTCAATAATATAATACCTCATTTTAGAAATTGTTCATACGAAGAGCATGCTCTTGGGTATCGAATCAACTGTAAGATATAAATTCCGTATGCGAATGATGAAGGTATATTATTATCATAAAGTTTGGATGTTAGATTATCATTTACGTCTATTTCAAGTAGTATAAAAAATATATAACAGATGTGTCACAGTGTCAGATTCTTTTATTTCAAGCTCACAGGGATATATTGTTCAGACATAAGAATGGAAATAACCATTGTTGAGAATACCTCGATAAATCGAAATATCGAGTTGAAGGAAACAACAAGTGTTTTATGCTCCTTTCATGAATAAGAATGTGAACAAATTCTGCTTCATATGAATAAAAAATAGGTCTCCTAATAACGGGGCGTAATTGGTACCTATGGGAATTCCAATAGATTGTTGCAAGAGCTCGTCTCACAACCACATTGATATTGCCAATCGAAAACTCAAAATTATACAGTAAACTACAAAATTAAAGAAATCAAGTATTTCTTCTGTTCTCCCTTGTACCTAAGATACATCAAGGTGAGTTTACAATTGAAAATAATGTAGCCAACAGTGGAATTCAAAACCGCATTCTAATTTTTAAAACTGTTGTTTTTACCGTGTGAATTATAGAGACTCCCCGTTGCAGTATACAGGGTGGAATTAATAACGTTGTTTTGCAGCATTCTGGAGCAGGTCTCAGAAGCCCTCTGCTTTATGAGAGTGTCTGTGTTTGAACTGTCACCAGGACAAGGCTAGAAATATATGGACTCAATGAAAATTATTTTAATAAATTAATAAAAACACACTTTTTATTTCTCCAAATCGCTTAACGTTCAAGAACCAACTTTATTATATATTCTATGAAAAATATAAATTTTACACATAGTGTAATTATATATACTATATATTTAATATTTTTTAGTTTTATGGCTTCGATGTTTGACTCTTGCTTAACATTTAAAGTTTAACAAGAGGTTATCAATTATCGCTGTATTAACGTCAATTTATAGTGTCAATACGTGCTATGTTAATCGTCTAGAGGTGGAGGTGGATATTATTAATTTGTTTAAAAGGTCGATGCGATTAGGCAACCCGGGGAGTACAATATTCATCGATCCCAAAGGGCGAGTTGGATATTTAACTTTCTGCTCAAACTGATTTTTTTTACTGTTTTCCATTAGGTTAAATGGACGATCTCTTTTTTTCAAAGCTTTCATACTTTTTTTTTTACTAACCTGAGGATTGCATATCCTAGCTTCGTACCCCTCCGCATCACCACCGTCACAGCCAGGGTAGTTTAGTGGACTATAATCAGAAAAATAATGTACATAGCAAAAATAGTGTATACCACTGCTTACGATGTCATTTTCTAGTCCATTTGAATATTTAAAGTCTTAAGAATTTAATGAAAAAAGTATTTATTTTAGAAATAGGAACACCCATGTCATTAAAAAATATTTTCAAAGGACACTAACGTATAGATCTCATAAACTTCCTTTTGTAAGATAATAAATTATTTAAAGATAAAGGTGTAAACCTTGGATTGTTACATAGCCGCCTCCTGACTGTGAGCCCCGCCCCACATGACCGTGAGCAGGGGTACCAGCGTGTCCACGGTCCCCACCCCCCGTGCCTGACCACGCCCGGCGGCTGTCTAGCCTCAGAAAAGGTAACGCACCTCTGATTGAAACACATCTACCGAAGAATAGAAAGGCAGAGGACTAACAACTGACACGAAACGGCCCGTCAAATACTAGTAATGACAGAAATGAATGTTTTAAATAAGAACACATGATCATTTTAACGACCATCCAATGGAAAAAATGTTGACTTTAAATGTAGAAAGCCCTGTAACTATGTTTCAATACTATTGTGGTTGCCATGTCAGCATCAGAGGGAGCAGTTTATAATAAAATTTCCATTTTATTTTCACAACAAAAACACACTCGTAAACTAACTCGGTTTATGTGCCAATTGTAAAACAAGGTGACTCAATCTGCAATATTTGAAAAATAATGTTTGCATCTACAATTTCCTTCTTATAATTTGATTCCACATCTAACAAATATTTGGCATTATTCAAATTGTTTACGAGGGTCTTTAATTACCTTTCCCTCACCGCAGTATGAACCAGGGATGTCTTTCCATTGGGTAAACATCTCTCCAAAATGGCTGCCATCATTGTAGTTTACACAGCTGTATTGTTCACAGTTCTACTATCGAAGCAATAAACACAAAATTGATTTTACTTTCTTCAGCAGAATTCATTTTAAAAAATAAAATTGGTTATATACTTACCCCGAGATAAGGAAATGTCCGGAAATGGAAGTTAGGACCGTACAGTTTTTCACATACTTCGTCTATACTGTACAATTGGCCTGGAAATCAATTCGTGACATACACGTAAAATAAATTGCTGTCTAGCATTTAACAACTCTTTTTTTTAAAATTAATTTGAAAAATTGACTTTGAGTGAGTCTTCATTATGTATTTATTTCCCCATTGTCTCAAGAAAGAAAATTTCCACTCACTTTCAATAAAATCTATATCTGTGACTATCTCTTATGAAATCATTAGAGCCAGAAATATATGGTGAGCCGAAGGACATATTAAATAATTATGGCAGATTACTATTGTTCTAGTTTACCGGTTGAGGTAATGTTTGGATATATAGTTAGTTTTTTCGTTAAATTCATTATGCGTTATACCTAATAAAACAGGCCTAAGAGGGCTGTATTGTATGATCCCTCTTACTGCAACGTCTTCACGAAACAAACACTGAGCGCTGCTACTTCTACATATAAAAATGACGATTAAAAAAAATACTGTTAATTATAAATAATTTAAGTTACAGTAAATATTTGACATTTTAACAGTAAATGGACAGTTGTCTGCATCAGAGCTAAAACCTAACTTCATTAAAAGAAACAGAACCGTCATTATTTTCCTCTTACTATGTGTCAGGACTTTGACAAGAACAGGTGATGTCTGTAATAATCATATCTTTGATTTATTAAAAAGGCATTATTTAAACAAATTCGTGAAAAAAAATTAATAGGACCAAAAGATTTTTTACTTACTGTAAAAATGAATTTAAATCATTGATACTACAAGAACTCCACCCTGCTCCATAGCCTCCCATGAGACCTACGTCATTTCCGGTGCATCCTCTAATGTTGTCATGGTACATTCCAAGACTGGAATGATATTGAACGTTACCTCAGTACATAAATCTTACTTTTTACGACACCATTGGAATTTTTCTTTTTATAAAAAAAATACATTCAATGTCTTTTTTTTTTTTAGATCACAATGAAATTATGTAATTATTTGTAATATAAGAAAAAGCGTTAAAAAAAGGAGTTAAAAATTTTCGATAGGGACGTTAAACAACTTACAATCAATCAATCAATATTAGAAATACACGTACCCTAATGCTTGTTCTCAAAAATAAAAAGAAATAATTATGTTTTAATTTTTGTCAAACTACCTGTGGCCAATTTCATGAGCCGTTGATTTGTACTCAAATATTGAACCAGAACTCTCAACACCACAGCGGAATAAACGATTACAAGCACTGGACTGATACGATCTGCCCACTACATCAGTGTTCATCCTATTAAATTACCTTTTTTATAGAATACATTCTCCTAGTTATATCACCAAAGAATCAGTAATAATAGAAAAATACATGTATTAAAAATAATTTTCAAATTGTCTTCTCATCCCATTTGGTACAAATATACATGTATGAGGCGCTAAATTTCTTTGTATTTTGTTTTGTTTTGAAATATCAAAACGACGTCAGAATACAGATGTTAAAATTTTTCATATCGGATCAGAAAATGAATATAATTTTCTGAAGTCATTTTTTTTTATATCTTGCAATTTAATCAGACTGAATTTGAAGAAAGTTTTTTTGTGTGTAACTCGCATTTGATATATATGAAAGGCGATTCTTTTTTCTTTTAAATTTTATTATTTTCTTGAAATTTTTTATCCTATTATTTTGAATTAATATTTAAAAACTTTTTTTCGAATAAAAAAAATATTTTGCTATTAATAACATTGTTTTGAGTGACAAAATTATCTTATAAGTTCATGAACAACACTTTATCTATAGATGTAAAGTTCTTGGAAAAGAGCTTTGTGTAAAATTCTTTATTATTGAAATATCATAAAAATCATTAAATTTGCAAGTTTATCCGTAAAAAGGATAATGAATTTCTAATTATAATTTGTCAACGATTCAAAAAAAAATCCTTACTTATACAACGGTAGAATTTAAAATTACTTACCCTGTGTGAAGAAAGATGAGATCATAGGGAATGGGGTTGTTTCTCATTCCAGTGCAGAATGAACTCAGAGACTGACTGATTATGGATGACATTTTGTAAAACGACTACAAAATCCATTGTTAAGATTTATCGTTATAATTAAAAATAAGTCAAAAATTTCCAATGAACAAATAGCCAAAAAATGCATGAATAAATATTCAAAATCTTATCAGGTTTACACAACTGTATGAATTATAAATATTTCAATTATGTAGAAATATTTTTTCGTTCATTTGTATACAAAATTCTTTGTTGCATGATGAGAAAAATGTGTGTATCATTTCAAAACAGTGTAAGTTAATTTCTTAATAGTAAAAAGAATTTAATTATAATTTATGAGTTTATAGATAACCCGTTGATAAAAACTTTGTCTAATTAACCTATATAAAGTAGGTTGTTTAAAAAAGCATAATTTCTGACGTAACGATTTACCGGGTTCGTCTCCAAAAATCCAATATATTTAATTTGAATTCTGACGTCATAATGGAGTTCACTGTAGCGGGACCATTCCATTTGTACCTTTAAAAAATCTTTCATTTTAAAAAAGATTATTAAAGAGAATATGTAAACATGCTGATGAAAAGTAAAATCTAAGTACAAGTATATTGAACCGATAAATTCTGCAAAATAATATCCCTTTGATTTAACAAAATTGAAATACAACTTAACCAAAAAAAAGTCAATACTATTCAAGTCATAACTGAACAACATTCAGGTCCACATAAAAGCAAAAAAAGTAAATCAAGTGAATAATTCTGCGTGTCTACCCCATTATACTTCAAGATCATCAGTTCGATTCTTTTGGCGGTGTCCTTGGAGGGGAACTTTTTGGTGTATTCGCTGTCAGTGTATACAGCCAGTTCTACCACAACGTGTCTTGAGGGAGCTGAGCGTTTCTTATCTTTTGTCAGTTTCCTTATGTGGGCATTCAGAAGGGAGCTGTGGTCGCCTAAAAAGTCAAATTAGATGCATAGAAAACGTGAAGATGAATGACCCATGATCATGCTCAAAAGTCTATTTGTGCAAATCAAAGGTTGAGCAGAGCCAACAAGAACTTCTGAAAACACAGATGGGATCAGATGCCATATAAAAGGGGTAATCATCCCATTTTTACCGTTCAAACCTGCCGTCTATGCTTTGTCATGATCAGGTGAAGGGAAAAATTCGTAGACAATTTAAAAATAGATGTAAATGTAAAAAAAAAAAGCACAACTTAATCTTTTTGTAAAGATGTCAGTCAACACTTACAATGAAGCGCATTGAAGTGGTAAAATTTTCCCTTTGGATGAAATGTTCTGAGTCATGTTTGGAACGTCAATTATAACATAATGACACGCCCATATTTTTAGAAACGAGAAAGAAATATTCGTCGTAATGTTTTAGGACACCCCATTCTTTGCGACAAGCAATATAAGTGACACTGAAATGAAGCTTTAAAAAAATTAGAAGAGAGAATAAGAGACTCTCCGCTTCTGTAAAACTCAAATTGCAACGAATATCTAGATATTTCTGAACTTAATCATGTCTGTTTAAGTTACCACAACACATGTTTCGGTCGAACGCGTGTTTACTCGGTGTTTATTTAGACCGTCAATTTGATTGGCTATTATATTTATGGAAAACCTGTTCTACAGGTATTCGAATAAACAAATTGACCGTTTTATCCATTTCTAAAGAAATTTCCTAAGATGACAATAAACGTTCTAAAGATAGCTCAAAACGTTCCATTCGAACGGAAAATTTTACCACTTCAATGCGCTTCATTGTATATTATCTTTATGACAGATTGCATTTGCAAACAAGGCCTTTGTATCAACCATAGAGATTTTTCAAATGCTGTCTGAAAACGAGATTGCAGATATCATTGAAATATAAACTTCTATTTCAATAGCCTTCATGTTTGTTTTAGAAATTATTTATACACACAATTGTACTTACAACATGCTTCAACTGGGAGGCATAAATTTCAAATACAGATGCTAATCGTATTATAAAAATTGCTACATAAATAAGGGTTTTATCAGGTTTATCATAAAGTGTTGTTGTTAGTTGATCATCGTTTTCAAAGGATACATCGAATCAACGAAGGAATAGAAATAATACCGTGTGGCATTCAACTCGACGTTTAGATATATTGACGACGTATTGTCAATTAACAATTATCATGGTTATTTCCATACTTGTGTCGATACGATATAACCAACTGAATTTGAAGAAATAAATAATACCACAGAGTCTGACACATCTTTTTATATTAAGATATTTAACTTGAAAACGACGTTTATGGTAATCTAACAACCAAGCTTTGTGATAAACATGACGACTTTAACTTTAAAATCGTCGGTTTAATTCCACTACTGATGCAGTAATATACCTTTAACATCAGTATACGGGGTTTATATATCTCAGTTGATTCGATACGTATGAAGAATTTAAAAACACTATTGACAAACAAGTTGCTGAAACAAAAATATCAGCGGTAACCTTTAAAGTCAACCTTTCGTAAGTTCTAAGGACGATACAATGACCTAGTCAGCAAATACAGTTTATCATTAAGTCATATTTTGACTAACGTTTTTCATACTAATTGTAAGGCCGTTATATACGAAGAGTTGTCGACGGCTTTTCCCGTGATATCCCGATCATGCAAATGACCACACGGTGGGGGTGACCGGTCGACAGGGAAAACTCACTCTTCCATGGCATCTGATCCATCTTTAATGTTCTGTGTTAGCTCTGCTGTGTTCCATTTTGTATTGTTAAATGGACTTTTAATCTTTAATACTGTTCGTTGACTCCTTTAGTTATATTTCATGCAAAAGTGTCAGAACCTAGCTCTTCATAAAGTTTTTACATTCATTTGCTATATGTGATTTATAAATATTACCTTCCATTTTCTCCAAGTTTTCCTGTGCTTTCTGTTTAGCAATAACAAGAACAGTTTCACTGTCTGAGAAGTTGTATTGTTTGTTGTAGACTTGTGGGAGCTCTTTAACGTGAAAATCTCCTGTCTTTGTAGATAATCTTCCCTCCTGAAATTAAGACCATGTACTCTATGTATGATATTTAAATTATTTACATTGTAATGTAGCGAAGATTAAAGCATTTTAATTTGAATTCAATGATAACGAGAAAATAAAGACGCTACCATAAAATAAGTTATTTAAAAAAGAGTGCATCATAATTAAGAAGAAAATATTCCCTTCAAACATAATGCCTCCAGATAAATATAAATGAATCCAAATTAACACATTTGATATTATATAAAACCTCGACGAATATACACTGTACCTATGCTGATTCAAAATTAAAAACTTTAAATAAGGCCGGAATTAAAAATATCTTTGTTTCCCCTAACCTTCCCTAAATTCTCAAGTTGGGTCGGTTAAACAATTTTATTTTCTGACAGCAGCTTTGAAAATATATCTAAAATTTAATGGAAAATTACATTTATAAATTACAAAAGAAATGATTTGTGAACAAAATGCTGTATCATACATATGCCGTTTAAAAGCAAACTTCATGATTAATTTATTCACAACTGTAATTTAGATGAACTTTTGAAATATCTCAAGAGTACATTTATATTCAAATAAAAAAAGACAAGATTCTCAAATGCAAAGACTGGTATATTTTTTCAAACCTTTAATCACCCTCCAGTGCTTATAGACAGTCATTGTACTTTTTTGAGGGCCATTAGATTTGCAGTGGTTCTAGAGCATATTGCTTTGGAGTTAAGACGAAATTAAAGTGGCTAATTTTAAGTCGCAGGTTTAAATACCAATGAGGAACGTTGAAAACGGTCCTTCAAAAGGGACAATAAAAACTTTTGGCCAGTGTCGCAGAAGATGCTGTCTCAAAAGAGATCCCACTGCTTAATGATGCGTAGTACGTCTAAATTTGGAGCAATGGGGAAATGTTCAAATGTTGTCCCAACAAAAGGATTAAAAGCAAAGAAACAACCAATCTTCAAGGGCCTAATTAAAGAAAATGACACTGGACGTCTCAGGAAGCTGAATTATGATTTCAAAACTATTTGGAAAGGGTATTTAAACAATATTAGAATGAACCAAAGCGAATCTACAAATGATAAAAATGCTATATAAAACAATGTCATAGTCATGAAGTTTAACCCGTAAATAAAGGCATGAAAAAGTACAACTGAATTATATCTATGAATATGATGACATATTTACAAAAACTCCTATGATTCCATAATGGCATTTAGCAAACATAGGAACATAGATGAATTGGTTATTAGATCAAAACTCAAATTAAATAAAATGCAGTAAAATTGAATGATGTGTTCACTACATTTGCTCCTGAGGTTGGCCTTTCCATGTACCTGAAATTCAACAGAGAGATTTGTTTGTTCGTTGTTTATCGTCCTCATTTTTCGAAAATTTATTCACTCACATGGAGACGCCAAGACACCTCTTAATTAGTCATGGTAAATTTTATTATCAAATTTTTTCAAGAGTGAAGAATTCTAGTTAGCTTAAGGCATAAGATTGAGACATCGCCGTTGTTTTGTAAAGAACTACTTCTATGTAATCACATCTGGGCGCTATTTTGTTTCTATCAAATGCTTGAAAATCACAGTAGAACAATGTCGGCCATTCTGATAAATACTGATTTTGATGAAATTGTATTTTATGAAACTTGGTTGACAATAAAAAAAATTTTGAATCATGTTATTTAAAAAAATCTTTTCAGTCGGCGCGTTTTAATTGGGTCGGTCGCGTTAGGGGAAACAAAGTATTTTTTATTTTGGCCTAATTCTAAATGAATTGTCTGCTGTTAAAAGTGCTCTTTATTTGAAAAATAAGCTAGAAGTGGAAGAATGTGTTTGTTGTTTAACGTCTCTCTCGAAATTTTTTGTCTCAAATAAGGGATCTATTTTGTGCAAGAACCTATTGCGACATGGGACCTTCGTTTATACGGTCTCATACGAAGAACCGATCTCCACGTCCCACAGTGGGATTCGAACCTGCATCTCCTTACTTCGCGGCTCTAGAGCAGACGCTCTACCACTCTACCACGTGGGCGAACGGGAAGAAATTGATGAAAATGCTGCTATCAGTAAATTTCAAGATTGCAATTATACGTTTACTGCAGATTTTAAACGAACGAAAATTTTAAATATAAAATTATCTTTGCATACCAAACCATCACAATGCGAAAGTGAAACCGTTCCCTCGTGTGAGGTCAGTTCCCCGACCAAGAAGCAGTCTGGAAGCGCCCCTCGCCATTCCTCGTCCCTCCCTCCGTTACTTGTTATAATTTTGGCTTCTGGGTGCAAAATGGGCTCCGCTTTGAATACTTTCATCTGATATTCCTCACCAAAAGCTGAGAGTCTTAATTTAGATGGCGACGAACTTCGACTGTTCCGATGTTTGAAGCTAAATTTAAAATGTTAATACATATTGTTTAATGGGGTACAGAAAAATAAAACAGAAAATTCGTTGTTTTTAATATATCAAAAATTCATCAATTAGCTAATATTCACCATTCTATAATGCTCCGACGTAATTCAGGGAATCTACGTAAATACTTAAGGAAAGAATAAGTGGATGGTAAAAATCCTTACCTTTTGACCTTTTCACTCTGAACTTCTTGTAAAGACGACAAATCAAAAGCTTCGTAACTCCCTGTTTTTGCATAAAAAAATTATTTTCAAATGTAAAAAAAAATTGATTGATAAAACATAGTCTATATATATTCAGAAAGGCATCAAAAGTACATTGGATATGTTATGAATTGTGAATACTTAATTAGATAAATGTACAATGCACTAATATATAGTTACATACCATAGCTATTCAGGAATAATGACGTAAGGCTGGAGTCGAGATGGTTTTCGTTACATTGGACCTGTTCAATTACAATTAGAAATCGTAAAAAAAATAATACATTTTCTTTGACTTACCCAATACACATAATCCACTTAAACCCAAGCTTGGTATACTACTTTTAAAACATTTGCTATATACTTACGACCAAAAAAATAAACATCCCTTTTTTTCTCATTTCCAATTTTCCCTTGCTTATCTTGACTTAATATTTTTGTTCATATTCGACCCTTTGGACATAGTCCTTATATGGTCTTGTGTAAATTTAAACGTCTTCTAATATCTCTTCGTTTCACTCTATCAGAGACTACGCAAGATACCACAGAGTCCGACACATCTGTTGCCTAATTTGATGTTTAACTAGAAGCAAACGTTAGTGGTAACTTGACAACGAAGCTTTATGACACAGATAAATCTTCAATTTTTCAATGGCAAGTCGACTTCCTTTATATTTTTAGCAATATAACCTTATCATCTTCTTATAGGGTGTATGTCCTTTGAAGCACACTCTTGACCAACTTGTGGATGACACAAGCTTGAAGTCATCATTTCACAAGTTTTATGGTCAATACAATGACCTTTTCAGAAAAAACAACCTATCATTGAGTCAAATACTGAAAGACGTTTTTCAAACTAATTGTTAGGTCTTTATTTACGCACTAAATTGTCTACAGATTTCCCGTTTTTCCGTTTTAATTAAGGCCATGCAGCATGTAAATCTGACTACACAATTCAAAATCATCAAAAGGTTTATATATTAATTTTGCATTGCTTCATGATAATTTGCTTTTCTGCGTGTACAAGATTAGTTTTTTGCTATCCTGATGCAGGGAAGGGTACTAATTTTATGATATTTTAAGATTGGCTAAAAGTACATGTAGTTTTTAGGACAGTTCTATGAAGTTTTATAGCAATGGTAAATTCTTTATCTACACAAAGAGGAAACGGTGTCAACTCAAATAAATAAAAGTTAAATGCTATGTCTGTAACGTGTTCTTTGATTTGTAGATGATTGGGTATGCATTGCACGTACAAGTCTATAAAAATATACTTTTGAATTGTACAGTACATTTATATACGCTCTCCTTGCTTGACCTTAATTCTTATTAAAAGTCAAGGCCATTTTTTAAATAACATTTTACCTTTTAAATCTAAGTACTTATTTATAGCCTTTATTATACCCCCCGCTTGAAAAGTGGGAGGGTATATATGATGATATCATCCAAGGTTACCAAGTGGAGATAAACAATTGTCCGTCCGTCTGTTACGCTTTGTATTGATCTGATTATCCGCAACTCCTTCATACCACTGAAGGAAATTTTATGAAACTTTCACAGAAATTAATTACATGTTGGTTTTGTGCACCTCCTATTTTACTTTTTGATCTGACATCTATTTTTGATTTTCCAGAGCAAAACATGGACACTGCCATTATATTCATATTTTGTTTTAGTGAGCTCATTGCTCACAGTACCTCTAGTTTTAATCAGTATTCACTTCAATGTACTTTAATCAATCGGATTTAAACGAGATATTCAGTGAAAATTTTCTCATGGGGAGAATTAGCAATATCTACAACTGGTTTCTTCTAATAAATTTACAGCCGTTTGTAGCAGTCTTGCTCTCCCCGATATGTTTGAATTTTAATAGTCCAACATGATGATATCATCCAAGGTTACCAAGTGGAGATAAACAATTTCGCGGGATTTACGTTCCTATGATTGATTGATTATTATTGTTTAACGCCGAGTCAACGTTCCTATGAAAGTACAAAATTAATATTGATGACGTAGTATGAAAACTTGCGCGCCATCTAGCGATAATCCAGGTTTTGTCTGGGTTTTTTTGACTGTTGGTTTTATTTGCATCGGTGATCGTTGGTTTTTGCATCAGAGTCTGTTGATTTTGCAAACAAGTCTGTTGATTTTGTTTTAAGGCGGTTGGTCTGTTTCGTATTATTTTCAGTATGTTTTTAAAATTAGTTGTTAGTTTTGCATTAATGTCTTTTTTACTCTTTCCGCCGCCCATAGAAAGTAATTGATAGAGGTCAAAGAAATGAATTAAAAACAAGCTCCTACAACTAGTTGGGGTAAAAATTTAAAGAAACTAATCTTTTATAGAGTGCAACTTTTTGTGTGCAATAAATATATTATTATTTTTTTGCTATGGATGACACTGTAGCTCACCGGTCGTCCATTCCATTTTTTTTTTCAGACCAGCAAATATGTCAAACATTAACCTTGGCCATATCTTTTGAACAGTTGGTGCTAAGGCTTCCATACTTCATATTGATTGTATTGATTGTGACAAGGCCTTTCAAAGGGTTTAAGTATGTTTGTCCTTTGGACCTAGACCTTATTGACCCACTTTTCAAAAACTTTAACTTTGGCCATAACCTTTGAACAGTTAGCACAAGTGCTTTCATATTTTACAGGTGTATTCCTTATGATAATACTTTATTCTGGATCAAAAAGTTTGACCATTTCACTTTGGATTGTAAATTGTATTTGAAAAACTTCAATCTTTATCATATGCTGCCAGACGTGAGCATCAGTGTTTCACAAACATATCTCTTGTTTAATTGTCGACAATGACCACATACATCACAATATTATTGAAAGAGAAATAAGAAATTATTTACCGATATTGACGTTGAGTACATTTTTTTAACCCACAATAGTACTCACCGGACCTAAACCCGATCGATGTTATGTTTCGTTAAGTCAAAGTGCGGCCGCTATGCACATACAATTACTTGCAATTGACTAGAAAGTTGCTTTTTATTAAGTATTTCATTAAATCTCAAAGGCAAGGCACGGACTCTGTGTCTTTTTTAAGCCACAAAATACACTTTAAGTCAATAATCAGAAACACTCAATGAGGGTCTCTCTCTCTCTCTCTCTCATGAATGTCAAGGAATTAGAAAATAAATTTTGTATTTTAGACTGAACGAAATTTATATATGATTTTAATCATGATTTAATTTTAAACTTAAAATATGCGCTGTATGGCTTTTTATCTCAGCTATTATCGTTTTATTAACAGCGTGACAGTTTGCTTGATTAGGGCGTGCTAAAATTTCGTATGCCTGATTATCATTTTACTCCTCGATTGGATGTTTGATTTCAGTGGAATCAATAATACTTTGCATATGAAACACAGAACACAGCAATACCACTGACAATACTGACCAATCGCATGGAATAAACAACAATTACACGTGAACGGACAAAGCAAGTTTTTGATATTAATAGCTACATGTACATAGTACAACAGTAGCAGAGTAGCCTTCCTGGAAAAAGAACCATTCAATGTGATTAGCCAGTATTATCGGGATATTGTTGTATTCCGAGTTTCATATGCAAATTAGTATTGATTTCATTGATCCAATCGATGAGTAAAATGATAACCAGCACACAAAATTTTAGCACGCCCCTTCAAGCAAACTGTCACGCTGTTTGTAAAATAATAATAATGTTAAAGAAGTCATTTCTACAAGATATACGAGGATGTTGGGGAAATGATCTTCTGTGAAATAGTCAAAAAGATTAATATGCCATAGTTACAATTGCATGAATTCACTTGTCATATAAAGGATCAAACATTCTTTTTAATGATTTATGAAAACAAAATATCGAAAATAAAGTTATTATTTCCTTCTCCCTCTCAAAAAGCAAGCAAACCAATAGGAACAAAAAACACATCATAAAAATATTGGCTTCGCCTACTACGCTTTAATTGGCCATGGACGGCGATTTGTTAAATCCTTGTGTAATACTATGTAACACTTGTCATGTATATAGGTGATTTATTTTCATCTAATCAACATGCAGTTAGGAAAACAGCCAATCAACAAAAGTGTTAGAAAGGGACCAGGGGCTCGTAACATAAAGCTTGCTAAGTTTTTGACTTAAGTAGGGTCGTAAGTACGTTTTAGGTACGATCTTAGGACCTGTCTAAGTACTACTTAAGTATTCTTAAACCGTAACATAAAGCAAACTAAGCTAGGTCTTAGCTAAGTCAAACTTATGTTAAAAATATTTCATATGAGTCAACCTATGGTTTTTGATTTTATATAGATAAATTGCTAAAAGTGATTCAGTTAGGGTTTTAATTCATCACATATTGAAGTTGACGTCCTTACCTATTGGTTTAAGTTATGTTAGATTAGATTTCGTATTAAAATTATAATTATGTTCTAAATTAATCGAAATGTTTGGAAACAAATACCGCATGGTCAGAAAGTGGCGATTTGTGGTTCATTGTAAATGTACGACAATTGTTTTATCACCTGAGATGTTTTCAGTTTAACTTTTGTACATGTAACTCTTTTGTTTTGACAAATGTTCACTTACCCTTTTATTATCGCAGACAAGAAAAGACAATCGACCGTCTATCTACTCAAAATTGAAACTCTAAAGAGTTCAATACATGTTGAATCCCCGCTATGTATCAGGCCATGCATGTCAGAAATTAAATTTAATTCTCTCTCTCTCTCGAACTGTAGTGAGCCCTGTCTAAAATCCTCATTTGTCACGTTCTACAGATACTTTTTATAATATTATTGTTACTGTCATCATCCTCTTTCTTTTCTGTTTTTAACAAATCATTTCAACTCATTTTTTTCAAAGTGAACATACAGATCCATGGTTTATTACTGTGTTTAATTTATTTTAATTCATTTCTATAACCGAGGTCCCACTAATTTCAGACGTATCCCTAAAATAAAATTTTGTATTTACATGTATGCTGTGTTGGGAGTGATATTGGAATCAGTGATCAGCCCCCCCCCCTCCAACGAAAAAATAAAATTCTTAAATCAGCGTCAAATAGAGATAATTATTTTCTTTAATGCATAATATGAATAGAGGAATATTTTAACATCGAAAGTCAACCTTAAAGAATTCTAACTACATGTACAAGAAAGTTAAGATATACTTAAGTCACCTCTACCGGCCGCCTAAGTTTTGCTAAGATTACCAAATCTTAGCACGCTTCTAGTTACGGTCTTAAGTTTTAGAC